ACGTTAACTCAACCAGTTTAGCATATTCTGAAGTACAGTTGCTTTGCGTTGACTAGAGTTTTAGAAGATGTAAAGTAGAGTTAGCTAACTTGGTCTAACATCACTCCTTTAAATCCTAGTCTAGACGAACCTATATAGAGGGCCTGAGGGGTTCTAGTATTTGTCCACATCTGCAACTTGTTCTGTGTTAGTCCTTTATCCTGCTTGTTTTAACAACTAGGTGCATGTATCTATAGTTTTTTGCTCTAATATTTGTGAGTTAACCTGTATCTCTTCAGCTTGTTAAAATAAATTATTACCCTGATGGCCTTTGTTTAGTCCATGTGTGTATAAACCCATCAATACATGGTTAAATAAATAAAATAAATTAATGGAGATATCCTATCTCCTAGAACTGGAAGGGACCTTGAAAGGTCATCGAGTCCAGCCCCCTGCCTTCACTAGCAAGACCAAGTACTGATTTTGCCCCAGATCCCTAAGTGGCCCCCTCAAGGATTGAACTCATTACCCTGGGTTTAGCAGGCCAATGCTCAAACCACTAAGCTATCCCTCCCCTTCTCATGTACTTTGTGCTGATTACTTTTGTTCCAAAGGAAAGTGATGAGCCATATTTACAGGTTCTGGGTTTAAAAATATTAGCCTTAGCTGATATTTGTTTAAACAATCAGCTCTGTTGATGGGGTTGTCTTAAACTTTAGCAGGACTTTAGGTCCATTTAAGTATTTGCATGTGGATGCCATGGGGGGGAACAGGTTGAGCAAGGATGAAGAAACAAAAATCAAAGCAAAGGGAGAGATTTGTAGGTTAAAAAGTGTGGGTTTTGAATAGTTGCTTCAAAACCAGACATATTTGTTGGAATGTAATCTTTTAGTTCTACATGTGAATTAGTAATGTTTGAATTTCAAATCTGAGACTTTTTTCCATCTTTTTTTTTTTGTATCATTGAAAACACACACATTATATTTCTACCTCTTCTGTGTATTATTACTTTTGTATCCTCTAGAACAGGGTACGCGGCCTACCAGGGTAAGTCCCCGGACGGGCCGGACCTGTTTGTTTACCTACCGCCTCTGCAGGTTCGGCCGATTGCGGCTCCGTTGGCCCGCGCCGCTTCCCACAGCCTCCATTGGCCTGGAGCGGCAAACCGTGGCCAGTGGGAGCTGCGATCGGCCGAACCAGCGGAGGCGGCAGGTAAACAAACTGACCCGGCCCACCAAGGGGCTTACCCTGGCTGGCCACGTGCCAAGGGTTGCCGATCCCTGCTCTGGAACTCTGCTCTGGTATTATCTCCTGATAGACTGCAGAAGCACTTCTTTTAGTGCCTTTCTGCCACTGGTTCAATAATTTTTGTCAAGATGAATTGCAGCAACAACAAAAAGTGGGTAATATGCTAATTGTTTAATTGTAAGCCTTACTTTTATGAGCAGTGATGATGGACTAACCTGTGAGCCATGATACGAGGACTAGTGATAGGTTTAACTCTCCGCATGATCTGTACACACTTGTTTAACTAATGGTGTAATTTTATACTGATTTATTTAAATTGATGCATCTTTGTGTGTGGGCACTCTTAAATGGATTTAAATCTGGTTGATATCTGGTTAGCTTGTTCCTGAAAACAGGGGAAAGCTTAATCGATAAAACTAGTTTTAGGTTGATGATATCAGTGTTTTCCCTCAGGGTTTTCCACTAGTGTAATGACACTGGGGCAACTTTGTATGTTGACAAGCCTGCAGGAGCCTATCTGCTGAAGCCACATTACCACACATAGTTATGTCACCCTTGTGGTTTTCTCATCCAAAACCTGCTTAGATTTACTACCATACGGTCCACATCTGGCATATGACTAGTTGGCAGTAGTGTCAACTCTCATGATATTTGATGTTTTTCTTAAAGCCCCAGCTCCTGGAGTCATGAAATTATGTAACATTCTATTTTATTTTTTCCTTCCCCCACCCCCTTTTCGTTTGTTTCTCTTTCCTTTTGTTTTGCTGGTTTCTCTTTCCTTTTGTTTTGCTGGTTTCCCTTTCATTTTCCCTCGTTCTTTCTTTCCTTTTCATTTTCTTTTTCTTTCGTTCGTTTTTTCTTTTGTTTTCTCGTTCTTTCAGTGGTGTACCTTTACTATAGAGTCCCATGGAAAGTGAATGGGGTTGGAGTGGAAGACTGGAGGGAGAGGTACTTGAGGCGGTTTCTGTTCAGTTAGTCTCCTCTAAGGCAGATTCTCTGTGGTTAGCGTCCTCTAGGGAGGCCATGGGTGGTCTGTAACCATAGAAACTCCACACACAGCATCACCCAACCAGCTGCAGATACAGAGATAAGGCAAGAGTGACACTGGGTGGAGTGATGTAGGGTGTTGTGCTGTGTCGAAGGGTACGTTGGGGGACTACTTTCTTGGCGAGAGGAATGAGGCAAATCCAAAGATGGACATGAGGAACCAGAGATGACTTTGGGGGAGCCAGGCCAGGGTGATGGAGGGGCAATTAAAGTGAGGAAGCCAGAATGTGAAGCGGAGTGTGGAGGAGCTGTGGGGATCCAGAGGTAGAAGAGGGGGTGTGGGTGGGGAACCCAGGGTGGGAGGCAATAGAGGGTCCTGTGGCACCTTTAAGACTAACTGCCACAGGACCCTCTGTTGCTTTTTACAGATTCAGACTAACACGGCAACCCCTCTGATACTTGACAGGGTGGGAGGGTGAGTGAGCAGAAAGGGGGATGGAGCGGAAACTGAATGGGAAACTGCTGGATTTGTTTGGGAGAAAGTATTAATTTGAGAGGGAGGAGGAGGAGCAATGAATTGAAGGATTTTAGAGTCAAGGTTATATAATAAGACAGTGCTTGTTTGAATATTCAAATTAGATTTTGCATAATCTGCATGGAGCCTTTTCCAAACGTACAACATTAATGTATGCTAAGTGGAGTGGTGACACAAGGCTAGTTAATACGGCTTAAATTTTAAAACCTGAGGCATCAAACTGGTTTTGATTTTAGTAGATTAGTGGGCTAGAAAAGGACCAGACATTTCAGCCTACTGTTCCCAGTGATGTGTGTCTTAAGCAATTAATTGTAGGCAAATTATGAAGGAGAGCAAAGTCATACAAAACACCCTTCATCCTTGTTATTTCTGTATGTACTTTCCTTCCCTTGCAATGAATGTATCTCCGAGGCTGCAGGAGAGTGGATTTTTAATCTTTCATAGGTATTTATACACCTTGAAACCAGATTTTTAGAGTTGTATGTCCAAAAGAATGTGTATAATTTGCACATACAATTACTTCAGTTACATGCAGAGTTACTTATGATAACTGCATATCATTTATGCAGAGATAAGAAGGGCTCGAAAGCCTGTCTCACCGACAGAAGTTGGTCCAATAAAAGATTTCATTACATCCCCCACTTTGTCTCTCTAATATATTGGGACCAACACAGCTACAATTATACTGCATGTCTCATTTATGTATACTTTTTTGCAAACAGTAGTTCTAAAAATCTAGGTTGTGCAGACTGAGCGTAGGAGTGTCACCTGAGACAGCAAGAGATAGAGGAGAAAATCTGCCACTTATTCAGGGTATATTCTGGTTTCATGGACTAGTGTATTTGATCTAAATAAGGTTTTGCAGCCTCATCAAAGCATGATCTGCTAGAGAATGTGGCAAACGAGGAGGTAATGCATACCTTGCAACAAGGCAGTGGATATTTTCAAATTGTTATAGTTTGGTAAAAGTGTAATTGCACATGACCATGAAGGCATGACAATAAATCTTACTTCTAGGCAATATTGATATGTGCCAGTACATAGCTATTGGGTTACAAAGGGAGTCAGATTTGAGTCCTGAAAATATAATGCCTATTCTCCTGTCTGGAGGAGTTGTTCCAGGAAGGGTAGGTCTATTGAGTATAATTTTGCAATAACACTGTCCTTATTGGTTCCTTACGATCATGTTTCTGTCCCCCTCTCTTTGTAGCAAGAATTGAATTTGATGCTTCCCTAGGTTTCTGTGTTTGTGTGTTGAGGAGGAGAGGAGTGGTCAGTGCTTGAGTTAGTTACCTTGCAGGTATCAGTAGGTAGTTACCTTGGCACAGAGAGGGATCAAAGAGAATTTAGGCTGGGATACTTTGGATATTTGAGCAATTTTTGGTTGCTCTCCATGCCTCCTTGTGTGTGTCAAACACCAATGAGATGCTACAGTACCATCGTGATATCACGGTGCTGATTTTGATCTTGTGCCGGCGTTTCCAGATGTTGTCGTCTACCATGGCCATTTGAGCAGGGTTTGGGAATTTTTTTACATAAAAATTAGTTAGTCTTTAAGGTGCCACCAGACTCCTTGTTGTTTTTACATAAACAGTTTTTCATCAGAAAATAACACATTGTCGAAACCGAAACTTTTCGTGAAACCATACCAGTTTTGGAAAAAACTTGAATCAGGCAGGATTCTCAGGTCCGGTATGGGATTTCTGGTGAGAGAGAGGAGCCAGTGGGTAGGGCATGCACCTGGGATGTGGGAGGTCCAGGTTCAAGAATCTGCTCTGCCTGTCTGAGAGCAGAAACTTGAACCTGGTCCTCCCACGTTTCAGGTGAGTGCCCTACAGATCAGACTGTGTTGGCTGTTCTGGGGTGAGGGCTCTCTCTTGCTCTCTTTTTTGGAGGGGTGGGTGAGGGGTAAAATTTTGTAAAAGTCTTGGTTTCATCCCAGTGCAATGTGGGAATTTTTTTTCTCTCAAACCTTGAAAATTTTCATGGGATGGGAAAACTGTTTCCTGTCAGGATCTAATAGCCGTGCCTCTGCATATCTTTTTGAAGCTGACTGCTGTGCTTGATGATCTGGTCAAAATGCATGCTGAAATCTACCTGTATATCTGAAGATGGGAGCAGGACTCTTAGAGTGATGTGAAAAAGGACAGAGAGAAGAAACCAGGAGCCTTGGAGACCGAGAGGGTCTTTTATATAATAAAGTTATTGAGAATGTGAACTTGACCTCTGGCTTTTTTTGCCCTTTTCTTAGGGTGACTGTGTTATTACAGTACGGCTGACTGAAGAAGCTGAACTTGAAGATGATGTAGTTTTTTACTTGGTGTTTACTGGCTCCGCTGTCCAACACTGCACAAGCACTAGAAAAATTAATCGTGGGACCTTGGAGACCATTGCTCCTGGTAAGCTCTCTTTGCGAAACACCGCCTAAAACGATTTGTGAAAACGGATCCATCGAAGTTTATTTAAACCTCATGTAATGTTGAGAATATTATTTTCCCCCTACTTGCACAAACTTTTAGAATAAAAAAATATGTATCTGGAATGATCATTTTAAACCAGGCTTTGACTGGATGGGTTTTTAAAAAATGATCCAGAGGCAAACAGAGGTTTATAGCGGAATCGCATCAGTGTGGTAGCATAGTTATTTAATGCATAACTGTTACGCTGTACAAAAGAAAACACAAAGTTTTGCTTCTGCATGTTAAGACTTTGAGTAAAGGCCAGACAGAAGAGGGGACAGTTGCCTTTACAAATTACAAATGTCTAGAAATGCCATTTGTTCAAGGGGATTTGCAGCGCAGTAAGGAACTGGCTGCATTTAGGTTGCTAGGGTTGAGTTGAACAGAGGCTCATTAATGTAGCCACAGGTACAGGCTTCCTCCTTTCCTGGGGGGTGCTCCACCCCAGGCCCTGCTCCCACTCCACCCCTAACCCCAAGCCCCCCCTCGCCTCTTCCTGCCCCGAGTGGGCCCCCCCCCCACTAGTCGTCGTCCCCCCCCCGCGCCTCCTGCATGCTGCGGAACAGCTGTTCGTGGCAGGCGGGAGCCACTGAGAGGGAGGGGGAGGAACTGATCAGCAGGGCTGCCGGTGGGCTGGGGAGGAAGTGACTGCCAGTGGATGCTAAGCATCCACTATTTTTTTTTCGTGGGTACTCTAGCACCCATAGCATCGGCTCCTATGAATGTAGCTGTATTGAAACAAGCCCCTGCCTTAAACCTAAAACACCTTCGTGCACTTAAACACAGTGACATAGTTTCTGCGCTCGAAGACTTTTCCCAGGTGCTCCAGGTGTTCTGTCCATGAATCAGAAAAAATGGCCACATCATCGAGGTAGGCAACTGCAGATTCTTCCAATCCGGCTAAGAGACCATCTACAAGTCTTTGGAAGGTGGCGGGTGCATTTCGCAACCCGAAAGGGAGTACATTGAATTCATACACCCCTGCCTGGGTGACGAAGGCGGACCTTTCCTTAGCGGGTTCATCTAGTGGTACTTGCCAGTACCCTTTGGTTAAGTCTAAAGTAGAGATGAATTGGGCATGTCCCAATTTTTCCAATAGCTCATCTGTGCGTGGCATTGGATAGTTGTCAGGACGAGTTACAGCATTTAGCTTACGGTAGTCCACGCAAAGCGTATTTCCCCATCTGGTTTGGGAACTAGAACCACTGGAGATGCCCATGCACTGTTAGAGGGGCGGATTATACCCATCTGTAGCATGTCCTGGATCTCCCTTTGTATAGCCGCTTGGGCATGAGGTGACTCCCGGTAGGGTGGGGTTCTAATTGGGTGAGCATTACCTGTGTCAATGGAGTGGTATGCCCGTTCGGTCCGTCCTGGAGTGGCTGAGAAAATCGGTGCAAAGCTTGTGCACAGCTCCTGATCTGCTGTCGCTGCAGACGTCCCAGGGTCGTGGAGAGGTTCACCTCTTCCACGCCACCATTCCTTGTTCCTTCGTAGTAGACACCTGCAGGCCACTCCGCGTCATCTGTTTCCTGGGCTGTAAACTGGCAAACGTTTAATCCTCTGGAATAAAAGGGCTTAAGAGAATTAACATGGTATACCTTAGGCTTTATGTTGGAGGTGGGGGAGGCTATGAGATAGTTAACAGCTCCTAGGCGCTCCTGGACCGTGAATGGTCCTTCCCACGACGCTTCCATTTCATGGGCCTGGAGCGCCTTTAAGACCATGACTTGGTCTCCTACTTTGAAGGACCGTTCTCTGGAATGTTTATCATACCAGGCCTTTTGCTCTTCCTGAGCATCCTTTAGGTTTTCTTTAGCAAGGGCTAAAGAGTGTCGGAGGGTGTTTTGTAGGTTGCTTACAAAGTCTAGAATGTTAGTTCCTGGAGAAGGCGTAAACCCCTCCCATTGCTGCTTCACCAACTGTAATGGCCCCTTAACCTCGCGGCCATACACAAGTTCAAATGGTGAAAACCCTAAATTGGGATGTGGTACAGCCTTGTAGGCAAAAAGCAACTGCTGCAACACTAGATCCCAATCATTGGAGTGTTCATTTACGAATTTACGTATCATGGCCCCCAAAGTTCCATTAAACCTCTCCACCAGACCATTGGTTTGATGGTGATGAGGGGTGGCAACCAAGTGATTCACCCCATGAGCGTCCCACAGGTTTTTCATGTTCCCTGCCAGGAAATTAGTTCCCGAATCTGTAAGGATGTCGGAGGGCCAACCTACCCTGGCAAAAATGTCTGCTAATGCCTGGCACACACTTTTAGTCTTGGTGTTGCTTAAGGGTACAGCTTCCGGCCATCGGGTAGCAAAATCCATGAAAGTCAGTATGTACTGCTTTCCTCTGGGTGTCTTCTTTGGGAAAGGACCCAGAATATCCACAGCTACTCTCTGAAATGGGACCTCAATTATGGGTAGTGGCTGGAGAGGGGCTTTAACCTGGTCTTGGGGCTTTCCCACTCGTTGGCACACCTCACAAGACCGGACATAATTAGCAACGTCCTTGCCCATTCCCTCCCAGTGGAAGGACTTCCCCAACCGGTCTTTGGTTCTGTTCACCCCAGAATGGCCACTGGGATGATCATGGGCTAAGCTCAAGAGCTTTACCCGATACTTAGTGGGAACTACCAACTGTCTTTGAGGATGCCAGTCTTCCTGGTGCCCACCAGAAAGAGTCTCCTTGTATAAAAGTCCTTTTTCTACAACAAACCGGGATCGGTTAGAAGAGCTGAGAGGCGGTGGGGTGCTCCGCGCCGCCGCCCAAGCTTTCTGGAGGCTGTCATCTGCTTCCTGCTCGGCCTGGAACTGTTCCCTTGATGCTGGAGACATCAGTTCCTCCTTGGACTGTGGACTGGGGCTTGGTCCCTCTGGAAGCGATGCAGGTGCTGGGACTGTTTCCATTGACTGTGAACCGCTGTCCGCTGGTGCACTATGTGGTATTTCAGGCTCTGGCTGAGCCTCTTGGGTAGGGTTATCTGCTACTTCCGCCAGTTCAGGCTCGCTGGTGCCCTCTGGCATTGGAGTTGTAGACGGGTTTGCAAGCGCTGGACTCAGTGCTGGCAATGGTTCTGGTGCTGGTTGCGTTGTCAGTTCCGGTTCCGGGACTGGCTTTGGCTGGGTCTCTGGGATTGGATCCACTACGGCTGTTGCAGTCGTTGGCAGGGGATCCGGTTCCACCACCTGTGTTTGGGTCTCCGGTAACACAGACGGGGCCCTGGTGGACGGCTCAGGAACAGGGATGGGGGTGGAAGCTTGCTTAGCCTGGCTGCGGGTGACTATTCCCACCCTCTTGGCTAGCTTCACATGGTTGGCCAAGTCTTCCCCCAGCAGCATGGGGATGGGATAATTGTCAGAGACTGCAAAATTCCACATTCCTGCCCAGCCCTTATATTGGACATGCAACTGGGCTGTAGGCAAGGTTACAGACTGTGACACGAAGGGTTGAATTGTCACTGTAGCCTCCGGGTTGATGAGTTTGGGGTCCACTAGGGATTGGTGGATAGTTGACACTTGTGCCCCAGTATCCCTCCAAGCGATAACCTTCTTACCGCCCACTCTCAAGGTTTCCCTTCGCTCCGAGGGTATGAGAGAGGCATCTGGGTCTGGGGATCTTTGGTGTGACTGGGGTGTAATGAACTGTAATCGGTTGGGGTTCTTGGGGCAGTGAGCCTTTATATGCCCCAGTTCATTACATTTAAAACATCGCCCTGCTAAGGTATCACCGGGGCGATGTTGTTTGATGGAGACTGGTGTGGTGGGGTGAGAAGGCGTCTGGGGTTTCCCTTGGGATGTGGGTGGGGCCTTGGGTTGTCCCCGGTGGTAAGGTTTTGTTTCGGCTTGCCCCTTCTGATATTCGCTCCAACTGCTACTAGCTTTTTTCTTTTCTGTCACCTCCACCCATTTGGCTCCAATCTCCCCCGCCTCGGTTACAGTTTTGGGCTTCCCATCTAGGATGTACCTTTCTATTTCCTCAGGAACACCCTCTAAAAACTGCTCCATTTGCAATAGGAAGGGCAACTCTTCCGTAGATTTAACATTTGCTCCTGATATCCAGGCATCCCAATTTTTCCCAATGTGGTAGGCATGTCGGGTAAATGACACATCGGGTTTCCACCTTAGGGCTCTGAACCGCCGACGGGCATGCTCAGGTGTTAGCCCCATTCTGATTCTGGCCTTGTTTTTAAAAAGTTCATAACTGTTCATGTGTTCCTTAGGCATTTCAGCCGCCACCTCTGCTAAGGGTCCACTGAGCTGCGGCCTCAGCTCTACCATGTACTGGGTTGGAGGGATGTTGTATCCAAGGCAGGCCCTTTCAAAATTTTCTAAGAAGGCCTCAGTATCATCGCCTGCCTTGTAGGTAGGGAATTTCCTGGGATGGGAAGTGGTACCTGGAGAGGAGTTGTTAGGATGGTCTGATGCACCCTGCCTAGTCCTTGCTGCTTCCAGTTCCATCTCTTTTTCTTTCAGCTCCATCTCTCTTTTATGGGCCTCCTGTTTGGCTTTTTCCAGCTCCATTTCTCTCTTGTGGGCCTCCTCTTTGGCTTTCTCTTCTCTGTCTCTCAGCTCCATCTCTCTCTTGTGGGCCCCCTCTTTGGCTTTCTCTTCTCTGTCTCTCAGCTCCATCTCTCTCTTGTGGGCCTCCTCTTTAGCTTTTTCTTCTTTGGTAGTCATTTTCCTGGTTTTCTTGTGCTGGGTCACACCCCTCTGCAGTTGACTGAAACTGGGATGTACTTAGCTCTGGCTGCTGCTGAGTTAACAGAGACTTTCTAACAAGCTACTCCCGAGGATGTAAAAAGAAAAAAAAACAATTCAACTTGTAAATTATCTTTACCAGTCAGTCAAAGTTTGCTCCCTTTGAACCCTTCTCTTAACAAAGGACCTCGTTAAAAAAAACTTAACACCTCTGCCTTCAGGCAAGGAGAGATAAGATAT